AATGAGGTTATTACTGAAGATGAGAGTGATAGAGTCTTTAAAGTTAGTAATGCAAAATGTAAAGATTCTATCGATTTTGATATGATACCATTGTCCTTACCAGATAAACCTACGTTTGCTGTTTCTGATGATCCTATTATTCATACTGTATATCAGAATGAATGGTATCGTATTACTACTCATGAGACTGGTACTAGTGATCATTATTTTGCTGCTGATATTTGTATCCAACTCTGTGAGTGGATGGATCGATTGTTATTTAAAGCTGTTCCTCGTATTCATTGGGAATGGCTTCGTGCCGATAATGTCGCGAAGTCAGAGGGTGTTAGACAGATTGAATCTTTCACTGGTACCAAGTTAATTCGAAATAGTGGGCATTGTAATCTCTTGTACGTTTCTTATTTTTATTCTATAAAAGGACGTAAAAGACGTCGAGTCGTTCTGCCTCTGTTTTTTAAATATTGTGTCTTCACTATATGCTGCCGTCTTTCAGGGAGGGGGGATGTAGTTGTGCAGATTGCACAACTATGGAATCTTAGCTTAGCTCGAAGCTAGTTGATGAGTTTATGAGTTTAATTGTAGATAGAATCACTAGATTCCATTAACCATTGCCTTGAGTTCCCAAATGGTTAACACCAAGACTAGGCCCGATTCTGCGCCAGTAATCTGGAAAAGGTCAGCCATTACATCCACATGTGTAATGTTCGTGCCGCACACGTGTAACATTTCGTGGCGCGCGACGGTCGCTGTTGCTCACGTGTTTCCAATGGGTACTGTCCGTATTTGGCATGAGGAGCACATGAATACGTCTCCATTACCCACAGGATAGGGCCTAAAGATCACTAACCGATAGCATCAACTCTCGTTAAACTAACAGCAAGTTGACAAACGAGGGAAGCACTACGACCTGGTTGAATAATTCTATGCTGTTAACGGTGACCCATCATTCCCTAAAGAATTGCCTTACTGGATTGCCGGAATAAGAAACTTGGCTAGGTGTAAGTCCAGTGTAATCTAGCTTCCCTAGTTCCCTGGATGAGTTCCATCTTGAGGGCACCCGGAGCTGGTCCGAGCACTCGTCTGCTCACACCTATCGCTGAGGACCAAAAGCCCAAGAGTCCGACTTTCTACGGTACAGTCTGCGAGCCATAATCACAGTGGAAATGTCATATTTCTGTCAGAGCACCATGATGTCGTGAGTGGCCCCAGCTCGTCGGACTTGGCGAAAGCCCACCTAATGATGCTTTTCTCCCAAGCTCTCTTTGCGGGGAATTACGTATGCTTCAAGGCTTTCAGTCAGCACTCAGAATACGTAACCGAATAGGATCAGATTGGAGACGAGTATCGTTTGCATGTGATCAGATCTTCGGTAAGACGTCAGCGACTATATTCTCTCTTATGAGAGGTGTCGTCTGCCTGGTACTCTTGCCGATCGTCTACTACACCAGGTAGTAGGGGTTTGGCTTGTCATCACTCTCATCGATGCATTCCTTGCTTATCGGATCAACTGCTTTTTCCAGTCCTGATCGTCACTATCAAGGAGTACTACGAATGAAGAAGGCTAATATTAAGCCTGTATTGATTCAGGGATTAGCAGGGTAGGACTTCAGTCATGGAGGGGTTGTTGAGTCCCATTACGGCTTCAGAGCGGCTCGGCAGAATATCGTGCCTTATGGACTGATGTTCACAGGAGCGGCATCAGCTGGGGTCGTACAGCCTTTCGTTCCCGTCTGCACCTGCATGTTGGCAGTAGCATTTGGGTTAGAGAAGGGGAATAGAATAAAGTAGGAACTGCAGGGCATGATGGTCATCCTGATAAAATGCAGGACAGGGCAATTGCGTATCTTGTTCACGTGATCCGCTCCTATGTTCAACCTCTTCAGGTACCTATCTATGCTCGTCGGTTGCATAGGCGTGTTCATCGCTGCTAAGGGTTACGATTTCGGTGGAGTGGACTTGGGCTTTCTCATTCTTCTAGGAGTAAGTTATCCGCGTCCTTCCTGCTACGATGAGGCTACCTACAGTTCAATCGTTACTGCATCGTCAGGGAGTTGTTGAGTTCAGGCCAGAGTCGAGGAAGTGTTCCTTGACTTTGATCTGAATTCAACGGGTTGTTTCTCTTATAATGATTGCATGTGATGCATTTCGACATGCCTGCCTCAACAGCTTCTCAAGACTCCATTACACACTGTCAGGTACCCGTGACTAAATCTATTCAAGTAACTGGGCAGAAGGTCGCTCTCAGCACGATGAGGCCTATGGCGGTAATAGTTATCGCAATCTCACTGGCTTCATCCTTTCTGGGACCTCATGCTCGAATCATCTAGCCCAGTTAATCGCTCCTCGCAAGGTTCAATTCTACCAGATCGTCTGTTTATTCGCTTTCACGACACCCTTCACACTTAGTGTGCTTGGATGGGATATGCCGAGGACATGGTGAGAGTCTAGAACCTGGGTCCTTCGGTCACAAGCAACAGTCCCTTCCCGTTTGACCATGTGTATACTCTTTCATAGGTACCTCATTTCGATGCTAGGATTCCCAGGTTGGGGCGCAGTTTTGTATTCTGTCTTTTTCATCATTCTTATCTCTTGGAGGATCCAATTAGCAGCTGTGAAGCAGCTTGGGCCCATCGCGGTCGGGCTCTATCAGGTAGCTTACGAATGATCAATTCTGTGTTGCTACTGTCGGGTCCTTTTACCTTAGTAACCCAGCCAGTGTCTGCTTCATTTTGCGCACTTCCTTCTTGGAGAACCGATTTTCCCTCATCAAGTGTTGGGTGGTATTCTTGTCTGCATCGGACTCGGGATGTACGGGATACTCCAAACACCTTATGCGATGTCATGGAATTTAGATTCGTCTATGGTCAATACTTGGCGGCCCTTAAGAAAGAGCGAGAGGCGGAGCGTGCCCGTGCAAGGGAGAATGAACGTATACCTGATGAGTCTCCTCAGCCTAGAGAGGATGGTGACGTTATGGAAGATGGAAGGGTACGGTGCTGGGTGATGCTGATCTGGGTTGATACATACCGTTTAGGCCAGTGAGAATGTGCGACCCCGTCGGAAGAACAGTCGGGGTGTCGGCCTCCACTTCGCGAGTAGCGTGAGCGATATGTGAACACGAGGCAGTGGCGTTTGTCAGTCGTACTAGGGTAGAGCACATCGTTTGTCCACTTCTATACACTCTTCTTCCCGTCTGTCGCACTATTGTCGTTCGGATATATGTGACGCTTTGAGGGCTGCCATCAGGAGCAGCAGCAAATGATGCAGGTCTTGATGCTCATCGTTCAAAGTTGTCTGTGTTTATTGATCCACTGGTTCGAGTGTTATACATAGTGTTAAATTGCGGGGGGCGGGGTAAAGGGAGTCCGGGTAAGGGGCCTCTTAAGGGGGATAGTTGCATGGATGTCGTCTCGGGCTCCCTCGAAATGTGCATAGATTGCGCGGACCAAATTTTTGTAAAATTCGTAAATGACGGTTTGACGGGAATATGGAATCAGCGGAGCTCTGCAGAGCAGCGGACGACATTATCATAAGGCTGCCGATCGACAAGTTGTTCACTTGTGATAGACAATTACGGATCCGTGTTTGCCGTGGTAGAGCTATCGTCTATGACGTGGATGCGAGGAGGAGATGCGCGTCACTACCGGTACGGAGGAGACTGTGAATGGCACCCGCCTTCGAGGGCACCGCCTGATGGATGTTAGCAAGTATGTCTGTACGGAGTTTTAGATCGCTTCGAAGCATTAATTTTGGCTACCTGAGAAGACAGGGTTTGATTAAATTAGTTTGAGTAGTTTCTGATAGAGCTGCTCCCCTTCCTCTCCTCGAATTCTTTGTTGTACAAGTTAGTAGTGATGGTCGTGGAGACGTTAATACGAGGCGGATTTCAATGGCAGCATAGGCGGATGTTCCTGCTCCATTATGGCGGGAGCATGGTGGTTACAATCCAGAGAATATTCCGCACGCGAGCACGTGTTTCGACGACTCGAAGACATCGACTCGAGGACAGCGCACCTTCCGAAGTGTTACTAGAACTTCTAGCAACTCAGCGTCTCGTG